CCCACAATTAAGTTTAATATGTGGGCTGAACACCTAACATGCAAGAATTCACCATCACAAACTGCACTCTTCCAAATTTGCAATCTTTTCTTGATATGTTGAACAACCCCATTGTTAGAAGAAGCATTATCGACAGTGATAGTGAATACCCTCTCGATACCCCATTTTTTTAAACACGTCTCAATAGATTTTCCTATTGTTTCTCCTTTGTGGTTGGACACTTGACAAAAGTTCAAAATCCTCTTTTGAATTTTCCAATCAGAATCTATGAAATGGGCTGTTAATACCATATATACAACATTCTGAATCGATGTCCAAGTATCCGTGGTGAGAGAAACTCTTTGTGAATTTTGAATGAAAAATGACCTCAATTTTTTCTTTTCATCATTATAGAGATTCATAATATCCCTACCTATTGTAATGCGCGACGAAAGTTCAAATTTAGGACATGCAACACTACAAAATGATTTGAACCCTTCTTGTTCAACAAATCTAAAAGGCAACTCGTCAATCACAATCATTTTTGCACAAGCTTCTCGACATGCTTTTTGACTAAACCCCACAGATACAAGACTACCACTTTCGTTCATGTTGTTCTTTTGAAAAGACAAGAATCTTTGCTTCTTATCCTCTAATCTAAACGGATACTTTTTACATTGATGGTTAAGATGGTTCCAAATGGTGCTAGTTCCATTTTTTTTCTTATCACTTGCGTAATCTTTACCACAATAATTACACACAGCCCTTGGGTCATTTTGGTTACTCTCATTTCTCGTAAAATGATCCCACACTTCAGAACATTGTCTACCTTTTTTCTCTCTTTGGTGTTAGGTGGCAAAGGAGGTTTAGAAGCACCAGTTGAGTCTATACTTTGAGTTTTAGAGGGTATTTCCATCTAAAAGACATAAATACACACAAACAAAAAAAGTAGAAAATAAACTTAAGTTAGAATATAGTTACAAGACTTATTCCACACAGACACAAGAAAATTTCTACAATGAAGAATCACAATCATAAAGGATAAATCCAAGCTAATTCACATGTAAAAACTGAGGCCACATGCAGCTTTTAAGATACCCATGAACAATCAATAACATATGCATAGAAAAGTTATGGAAAATCTACAAGTTCTTATACACATAATACAAGTTCTTATGCACATAGTACAAGTTCTGCATGTTTTCTCTCGTGATAGACTAAACAAAGGTGACAAGAGCATGCCCATATAACATCAGCAACAAACATGAGCTCTCATTTAATAGGAAACTTGGTGTTTAATGATAAAAATCAATGTAAAGAATGAAGGTACAAGTATTTATGCACATTGTATAACATTCTGTAGCCATTTCTGCATCATCAAGCATAGATACAAATAGAAATTTCTTAAAGTTAAGTTAAAGCAACAACACATTACTTACAATTTACAAATGAGGGATTTCGATTTCGACTTCGATGTGGTGGCAGACGCAGGCGCAGCAACGGCAGACACAGCCGCAGCAACCGCAGACGCAGGCTCGCTAACGGCAGACGCAGGCGCAGCAACGGCAAGTTTGTTCGTCGTTGAGTCGTTCGATTTCGATGAATTAGGCGAGACGATAAGGTAGACGCAGGATGTCTGGATGTTTATTGTTCATTTGTTTGGATTAGCCGATTAGGTTAGGATTTAGGAATTAGAATTACCAAATTAAGGATTTAGATTTAGGGGATTTAATTTGGATAAGGCTTTATGTTTGGGCTGAATAATTATAATATTAAAATAAAATAATATATATATATATATATATATATATATATATATATATATATATATATATATATGGCGGTCGGGTTGGTCCAAACCGCCCAAAAAAAAGTCTAAACCGCAAACCGACCAGACCGCCCGGTTTCGGCTATTTTTCAAACCAGACCGGACCGCCAGACCGCTCAAACTGCCAAAAATGGTCCGGTTTGACTTGGTTCGGCCAGTTTGAGGGGGCCGATGGTTTTTTTGAACACCCCTAGGAAAGGTATTGTTCGATTTGGAAAAAGAGGTAAACTTAGTCCGAGGTATATTGGGTCATTCAGAAGTTGTAAGCGGATCGGTTTGGTTGCGTATCAGTGAGAATTGCCAGAGGAATTCGTCTCAATTCGTAACACTTTTCATATTTCTAACTTGTGGAAATGTTTAGCCCATCCGAGTCTGGAAATACCATTGCATGAGGTAAAAGTGGATAACAAGTTGAATTTTATGGAAAATCCTGAGGCTGTTACTGATTGGAAAACAAAAATTTTGAGAAACAAAGAAATCAGTCTGATAAAAGTTCAGTGGCATTTTCATCAAGGGTCAGAAGCAACTTGGGAGTTGGAGTCTGAAATGAAATCAAAATATCCCTCGTTATTTGATTAACTGAATTCTGGGACGGAAATTTTTTTAGGGGTGGATAATGTGATAACTAAGTAAGAAAATAATTCTAAATTGTTTATATGTTTATGTGATCATTGCTTATTTTATTTCCACCGCCTTAAGAATTTTTATGCATGAGATATTTGTTATATCTCATGGGAGAATGTGAAAGAATGAGTTTAAAAATTTTAAACCTCTACCGCCTATGATTTTGATGGTATATAAAAGTGATAAGACTATTCCATCTTGAAAAGGAAAGAAAAGAGACAAAAACTTGTTGTGTGTATTCTTGTGTGAATTACTTTATTAAGTTGTTAAGAAGTTGATTTTGTGATTTTATTTGGAAATCATTGCAGTGAGATTCAACTTCATATGTGTGCATATAAAGTGAGTTTATATTATCAACTGTCTATATCTGGTATTTTAGATATCAAACTGTTTGGTTTTATGTGGAAAAAAAGGCAAACTATTCTTGAAATTATTTTGGGTTGATAGGGATGTTGGGTTTAGAACTGTAAAAGTTCTTAATATGAAGTTTATGTCATAAAACTGTTTTGATGCCATTCTTGGCAAAAATGACAAATTTGGTTAAATTTTTATGAGGAAATAAAAGTGGCATATCAAGAATAGGTGTACCTTTGGATAAGGGTGACAATAGTGCAATCTGAGTTTTGATCATACATTTTGTTATTACATCCATGAGATGAAATGATCTTGAGTTATCACTTCTGTGTGATGTGAGGACTTGGAATTATTGCTCTTATTGACATAATAACAATGTTGTTATGAAGAGGAGGAAAATTGTTTATAAACATAAAGGCTTTGATTGCCTGTGTTTTGAATTAAAAATGTTTTTGGGTTGATCTGGATATTATTCTTTAAGTTGTTCAAATAAGTAAAAGTTGATGAGGAACCAAAGGGGCTCTGGTTGGTCTTCAAGACTAACCAAAAGGCCTCTGGTTGTAAGGAACAATTCTAAGTTCAAATATTTTATACTTTGACCTAGAGGCTCTATATCTTGGAAATTAATGTTAAGTCCAAGCTCTGTATCCAAGTTCTGTATCTAAAACCTTTTGGACTTGAAACATTTTTAATTTTGTTTTTTATGGGCTTTTAGAACCCAGAGCATAGTTCAACCAAAAGGGGCTCTGGAGGACCTCTGGTTGGCTTGATCTCTGGGTGAATTATTTATGTGATAAAGTCCTTGAGAAAATATTCTAACCTTTGATAGAGGATCAAAGAGGCTCTGGTTGACCTTCATATTTAACTAGAGAGCCTCTGGTTATCTTTAAATTTTATTTTCTTTTAAGTATCTCAATTTCTTATTTTCTATATGTTTTAGTTTAAACGGACCAGAGGCTTTGGTTGTCCAAAGGTCCTCTGGTTACTCATATATCCTTAGTTGTTTTTAAAAAGTTGGAGATCAAAAGCTCTGGTTGGTAAGACCAGAGGCTCTGGTCGACCAAAAGGGGCTCTGGTTGGCTTAACTTTGGATTTCTTTATACTAAGTTAAGTGACCAGAGGAGTTCTGGTTGATTATAGTACATGTTTATATTATTTTCAAGAATGATCTAGACTTCATAATTAAGTCTTTAGTGACTCTATTTTGTTTGGCTTTGCTCTGGCTTAAGAGCTAGAGGAGCTCTGGTCCTTAGGAGCCAGAGGAGCTCTGGGTAATTTCGCACAGAATGATGCAAGGACCTGAGTAGTCACATTCCATGTGCAGCAAGGAAAATTTATAACTCACATTTGTTTGCAATATTTGAGTTATATTGTATAAAAAGTTGTTAGATATTTGTAAAATTACAAAAATGATTTTATAACAGGTTTTGGTGATTTTCACCCTGTAATTGCATAAAAAGGGATTTCTCACTAGACCTCAAGGTCTAACCCTCATTTTGTATTTAAAATGTGCATTGCAGGTAAGTTATTATCAAGGGATAAGGGAAGGAAAAATTGTGAATTTTCCTTTCAAGCTTGCATGGGTTTTGATAAAGAACTTGTTATTTGTTGAGTTTTGGAAAATTTGTTTCATATGCAAGTTATGTACAAGAATATTATGAAAAAAAATTGGTTGTTAAATTTTGTAATATAACTTCTTATACTGTTGAGACCGAATGTGTATTATTTGTATCTCTTGATATATGAAATACATGGTTATATGCAAATGTGGATCTTGGGGTGTTACACAAGACTTTGTAAAAAGTTGCAATAAGTGCAGAAGAGTGGAAATATTTCTCAGCGAAATGAAATGCCTTTGAACAAAATTCTAGAAGTAAAATTGTTTAATGTCTAGGGTATTTATTTTATGGGACCTTTTCCCATTTCCAACACTTGTTCATACATATTGGTTGCAATGTCCAAATGGGTGGAAGCTATGGCTTGTCACACCAATGATGCCAAAACTGTCATCAAGTTTCTACACAAGCACATTTTCACAAGATTGGGTACACCACGTGGCTTGATTAGTGATGAGGAAACACACTTCATAAACAATTTGTCAGAACAAACTCTTGAGAAATATGACATCAAACTAGGATAGCCATAGCTTATCATCCACAAACCAATGATTTAGTTGAATTGTCAAATAGGGAGATAAAGGGAATTTTGGCAAAAGTACTCAAACTAGACCGAAAGGACTGGGCCTCCAAATTGGATGATGCCTTGTGGGCCTACCTGACTGCTTTTAAAACTCCCATTGGAATGTCTCCCTATAAACTGGTTTATGGAAAAACTTGTCATTAAGCCTACTGGGCCATCAATGAACTGAAGATGAGTATAGACGAGGAAAGAACTAAAAGATTTTTGCAGTTGTGTGAACTGGAAGAACATAGGAATCATTCCTAGGAAAGTGCCAAAGTTTATAAAGAAAACACAAAAAAATGTCATGACAAGAAAATTCTTCCAAAAGAATTCAAAGAAGGTCAGCATGTACTCTTGTTCAATTCCCGACATAAATTGTTTCCCGGTAAGCTCAACTCTATATGGATTGGTCCTTACCAGATTGCCAAAGCTTACCCTTATAGAGTTATCGAATTAATTGATCCAGATAAGGGTAGTACTTTTAAGGTGAACTAACAACGGGTAAAACAATTTTACGATCCCTTGGCACTGGTACATCAACCTCTTGAGGCTGTTAATTTTGCAGCTTGAAGAAAATGAATTTCTAGGCTTTTCATAAAACCGTAACTGTAACACCACATCCCACACATTGTAGATAACATATATTTCATACAGGAAATACATGTTTATACATCATTCAGGTTCCTTAGTACAAGAATCTACCAGTATGAAATACATGGTTCAAAAATTCAAAATACAAATTCTTGTACTAGACAATGATTATTTATCAAAACTATATGATACATCATCCAATCCTCATGCAGGTAAACATATAGGGAAATTATCACATTTTCCCTTTTCCCTTACCTTCTGCAGTTCCTGCAACACATATTTAAAATAACAAAACGAGGGTTAGACCGAAAGGTCTAGTGAGTTACCCTATTTATGTTATTGCAGGGTGTTAATCACCAAAACTTTATGTAAAACAACTTTTCATATATATAACAAATATATGAACAAGTAAGGGCATGGTACTAATGCCTTTTTATTTTTCAAGCCAAATTTCCCTGCTTGCAAATAATATATCAACTCTAAACAGGTTTATATTAACCAAATTAACATAATGCCACTTTTAAACCTTTTTCTATTCAAACAAGGTTTATACAAAGTTTCATGCCAAACCTGTTATCCCCTTCTCTATAACATTCAGACTATGATTTCCAATAAGAACCCTGATCCTAAATCTTTAAATCACAAAGAAATAAAAATTCCAGACCATAGTAATTTTAAGAGATATAATAGTAAGGGTTATATTATATAACACACCCATACAATTGCCACCCTTATATCCAAATGTACACCTCTCCTTTATATGCCACCCTTATCCCATAGTATACCTCTCCTTGATATGTCACCCTTATCCCATGGTAGACCTCTCCTTGATATGCCACCTTTATCCCATGGTACACCTCTCCTTGATATGTCACCCTTATTTCCTCATCAAAATATTTCATAAAACAATTCCATTTAGACCGCAGTCAATGGAATTATCAGTTCAAAAATCATCTTTATCAAAATTCCCATTTATATATAAAAACAAGTCAAAATGCAAATCCGGTCAAAATAGACTTGGCCGGACTTCATATCCGGTCAAATCTTGGCCGATTGACCAAATCTGGACAACATATCGCCCAAGGCTTGTCTGATTTAACACTTAAGAGAATTTCAACACTTTTGTCCGGATAACAAATCCGGACAATACATCGCCCAAGGTTTGTCCGATTTAAAATAATCCGGTCAACACATGGTTGTATTCATACTTCTCCGTTCAAAATATTTAACATAAACTTAGTTTATAAATCGCTCAACTCTTGTCCGGTTTAAGACTAAATCGCTCATCCTTCATCCGGTTTATGACTAAACCGCTCAACCTTCATCCGGTTTATGACTAATCCGGACAACACTAAAATAGTTAAAACTTCAAATCAAATGAAAAGTTTATACAATCAATTTATGCAATTATAAAGAGTTTCAATGCAGTTAAACCATTCGCCTTTTGAAACCAACTCCTTGCAAATTTCAAATAAGCAAATTTAAAGAGATTTTGAGAAAATACTCACCTTATTTAAATTTAGCAAATGCAAACCAATTTGACTTTAAGTATGCAAGTAATCCGGACAAGCTGCCTCTCAATTCTCTCAAGCTTTCCAAAAAAAAACCAGAAACCTTTACTTGAACCTTTCCTCTCATATATATACCCCTTTCTAAAAGTGGAAAGCCAGCTATACTCTCTCACGCATGCATACATACAAACTCATGCATACACCACTAATACCTTATGCATGATATTCATGTACATCACCACTCATACATACATTTATTTCATATTATGCATATAGTTTCTATGCATAAAAATTCACATAATTGCATGATCAAATATAATAATTTATCATGCTATCACAAAATTTATTTAACAGATAATCACGTATTCATTACCTCAAGTGATAATCAGGATCCGGTTATCACAGTAACTTATATGTTAATTTTTGATTTTGCATTCTATCTCTAGCCTATATCTCTTGTGACCATGAATGACCGAAAAAGTTATATATTGTTTTTATCATAAAATTTCGGCCTATCTAGTTTTCATTAAACTCGACTTAAAATTCATTAGACAACCTTGAGTGGAAGTCTAGGTATTTTAAAATCAATTTTATTAAATAATTGGTTTTAGAGATATTAGGCTCAAGTTAGTATTAAAATAAAATGGGCCTTTTTAGCTTTCATGACCCACTTCCTTAGTTTTAATGTATTGGGCTAACTTTTCTGTTGGACCAACCTCTTTCTTAAAACTCCGGTCCATTTGGTTGTTTTTCTTTTATTTGATAAATACTTCAGATTAAGAAGGGTTGTTTTATCAGATACAGAGATGCCACATAATAGGAGCATTAATTGAGACTGTTGTGAGTAAGTACTTAATGTAGGAAATGGAAAGACACTCTTTGTCAACCTCAACTCCGTCATCTCTCTACTTCTATCAGTGATTGAGCCTGTAGAACCTCAAGTCGGCCTCCAACGACCCACCATCGTACTTCCTCGTACATGTCGAAGGTCAACTTTGTACTCGCTATTTCTCCTAGACTCGCTTGTATCGCCCTCACTGAGCCGAGGCCACCATCTCCAATCCTCAGTGATGAGAAAGCCAAAAAAAACCCTTGGTTGCTTCCCAAATAGCCACAAACATTCATGGAAGGCTCGAAGCCGATTGCACACTAGTAGAAAGATAGCCAACTATTTCCAAACCTAACAATTCCGTTTCTACCTCTTCGTCTTCTCTACCCGACACCTCGATTTCCAACAATCGCTACCAGCTTAGAACCTTAGCAGAAGCAGCAAAAGTTTTGCAGACTCCACTTCCACTCCTTCTCAAAGCAGCCATCGTGCATTTAGCAATTCCAGCAAACACTCCCAAGGTATGGACCGCTCTCACGCTCCCAACCTTAACATCCCACTACCTGACCCTGATTTTCTGGCAAGAAACATAGTAACCAATTATGTGCAAACCTAGACTGTGCATTCAAGGCTAGGAACGAAATCCTAGGATTAAGCTTGTCGTCGATGAAACCGAATTCAAAACTACCTAATTTCTCTTCACCTTCATATGCACCATTTGGTGGGCAAACTCCGTTCCCACAACCTAGTGTCATTATTCTAAACACAAGAGGCAAACCCATCCCAAACCACCATTCCACTCGATACAAACCATTCCACTTGATACAAACCATTCTAACAGTTGAGTCGAACCCCTTTACCAAATCCAAATTCAAGCTATTACAATCATCCCCCTACCACTCAATCGTCACTGAAGAATGCTCCCTCTCCAAATATGAAGGTAACCGTTTGATAATCCTAGATTGGATTAATCAACAACATATCATGATTCAATTCAAGAACACAATCAAAATATAGAGAGAGTAGAAATCTAGAGAGAAAAGATCTTCAAAGCTTCAATAGTATTAATTTTGATTGATTACACAATGATTAGCTCTTCTAACATCTAACTATTACACTAAGCACCTATTTAAACAACAAGATAAGAACAAAAGCATAAAGCTTGGATACATTAATTTAGGTACAAAAACATGGACCTAACAATCTCCCTGTTTGGATACAAGCTTTATGAGCACCTTTTAAAAAAATTTAGCAAATTTTTTTTAGTCTCTCAGCTGCATCAAGCTTTAAATAGTCTCCCACTTGATGAACATTCTTCCCTTGTTCTTTTCAGATTTAAAACAATCTTCCCCTTGTCGAAACTTTGTATAATATACTCCTTTAAATTCTTTGTTGAAATACTCCTTTAAGAAACAAATATATTTCTTTAAAAACTTCAATTCTTCAAAACGTTTCTCAAACTTTAACAATCATCTTGTTTGACCTGTAAATTCAGTTTTGATATTGATATCTTACTCTGAATGAACTCTTAGGACGATCACAGTGCAGTGGAAACAATTATAAGAACAAAACATAGTAAACAAACCAAGAACACACAGTTTAAGATGAGGAAGAAGATGAATACAAAAGAATAGGTTTTCAATTCATTCAATTGAAAATTAGACGATTACAATTCAGAAGCACACTGAATACAAAGGCCTAAGCTGCTATTTATACTAGACCCTAACGACCTTACTGACATGATCTAGAAAGTGAAATCATCTAAGCCGTCTAAATAAAGTCTATTAAAATCTAGTCACGTGAGAGGCACATGCAGCTAACAACCTTTGAAAAACAGAAGAACAAGATCTTCACATAAGACGAATCCACAGACCCTCTGTGAGCCATCTTAGAGGCTCTGCTGTAGTAGACTTGTATGATCTTATTGTCAGAGGACCATTTTCCAGAACCTCTGTGAGAGACATCAGAGGTTCTGTTGAACTTTACTTGCACGATGAAACAGCTTCTGTTGCTAGTCCTCTGATGTCTTCTGTGGAAGATATCCTTCTGTCAACA